CAGCAGCGCCGCTCGGGAGAACAAGGGTGACTGTAACGAACGCTCACACCTTTTTTTTTTTTAACCAACTTACTTTGATGATCGGAAATCAGCGATGAATCCTCGCAGCACCATGAACGTGAGGTGGAAGTGGCTTCGCCTCTCCGCGACTACGAACGACGCACTGTCCGGGTCGACCAATGGGATTATTTTCAGCAGCGCCGCTCGGGAGAAAGAGGATTGCTCGTCCACGTGGCAGGTGACACCCATTCGCTTGCAGTGCCGCCTGAAATCTCGCGGTCTTCTCTCTATCACTATATTAGCAGAACGACTTGAGCTATGATTGGTAGTAGTCTCACCATTACCATCGATTGCGGTACCCATAGTATCTGTGGTATTACTACTTGCACTATCGGTACTAGCAGATCTCGGCGGTACCCTCGTACACGTTATTAAAAACGATTCGTCACAATCCAGACCCGAGCCGCATCGCGGGGATAAGATTCTCATCAGGCCACTCACGACGTTCTCGCATTGGATTCGCCACGTGTCTCTCCATGGTAAGGCCACGATTCCCGCTCGAGGAGACCGTTCCGTCGCTCCTCTGTCTGTTCCTATATCGGGGCTGAGTATAACGGCGTGATCGTATAATCTAACCACTTCATCTAAGATTTCGCCCACCCCCAACTCGAGAAAATGGCAAGGAATATCTACGAATCCCGGGCAGTAGCTCAAAAGTTTCGGGGTTAATAGCCCTAATTCATCACGTGACCGACGGATCAGACCATCTCTTGTACACGTTGTAAGGCCCTCCCAGAAATCCGACATAAGCAGCCTTTCGTGACAATAACGAGGCCACAGCTCTCTCCGACACAGGCGATCAAGGCTGCGACTGCTGCACGCCAGCCCTGCGATTGCTCTTGCAGGCAATTTCGTCGCATGGATGATTTTGTAAAGAACCTCTGGCGGTAGAACTTCCATTTCAGGTCAGCAATAACGGATGTCAGTGAAATCACGAATATCGCAGCAATTCTCGCATATGATTACGGGTTTCCAAAAAGTGCAGAGCTTCTACATCATCTCGAACGAGGGTATCTTCCTAGAGTTCGACGATTTCGTTCTTATTTCTTCTTCTGGTTATGTCATTCGTCCCTTCCTGCGCTCACTCGTCACAAGCTCGGAGCTCGTCTTCAGGGCTCCCCTGACAACTATGTCATTCTTTTGGCAAAAGGAAGCACGTAACACCACGTGAAAAAGCACAGCATGACGTTGCGTCAAGAGACGTGACAGCACGAAGCACCGTTACAACCCAAGCCGCCATAGCCCAGACAAGCTTGAGTACGTTTCACGTAAGATAGTAAGCGGGCCCACAAACAGCGGATACAGACAGACACCCTAGCAACATACGAACCCACCCGACAAGGGGTTGACCTGGGTGGGAGTTTTTCTTCCCGCACGATCGCCTTCCTCCGTGACTTGTCCTCTGGGAGTGCTGCTGAAGCAACTTGGATCTATTCCGCCCTAGGCACGATTTGAAAGATGCCCGAGGAGGAAATGACTAACCGCCGTCTTTCCTTGTTTTCGATTCCAATGGGCAGTGGCTTTGCCCACGCATCGCTCCGCGATCACGTCGAATTCCCACGGGCAGTTTGTGGGCGTGAACGCACATGGAAAGTTATTTTATGGAATAAAAAAACAATAAACCCTCTCGGGACAGACATAAACATGGGAGGCAACAACCCTAAACACAATGTGGCAAGGTGTTTAGGGTTGATGCCTCCCTGGTTGGAATGCCTTTCCCAAGAGGGTATATTTTTTTAGCATGCGTGAAACTGTATTAAGAAAAAAAACTGCCCGTGGGAATCGGGCGCGATCGTGAGGCGATGCGAGGTCAAAACCACTGCCCATTGGAATCGAAAACTAGAAACCTCCGCGGTTCGTCATTTCCTCATGCCCGATGGATTCGTGCAAAACGCAACATGCGGCTCGAAAATGGGGTTGCACGCTCGTTTCGTCGAGTATATGTAGTAACCCAGTTTGCACCCTCTCGGAGCCTTACAGAAAATCGTTAACGTTCCGCGACAATGTTCGCCAATAGACGACAAGATTCGCGAACGCACTGGCTAGGTAAGCGGGCAGGTGAGATGTGGCTGAACGACGTTCATACCAGGGCCTGAATGAAAACGTGCAAATTTGTCCAGGCGGCGGAAACGTTCCTGCCTGCCACCATCACCACCACCACAAGCCACCTGCAGCTCACAGATGTAAACCAGTACACCGAACACAATATCAAAGTAAATAAATGAAAAATAATATTAGACATTGATCTAATTAAAACATATGCTATATTTATATTAGTTTTCTACGCTGTTTTTGTCTGAAAATGTACCGGCAGTGGAAGCAATATTGTATTGTGATAATGCTGTTTTTATTTCCATGTAGACGGGTGAGAAATACCTGTGTTGCAACTTCATGACGGTTGTCACTCGATTGAAGCACAGCTGCCCTTTATTGCGTCAATGTCGAGAGCCCACGCCCACTTCCTCCATGCCACGAGAGAACAGCTGCTGACCGTCCATATGAAGTTGTTCCGGGCATGAATGTGAGTGAGGGTGCTTTGTACGTACGGTCTTTGTAGACTCGATATTCGTTAAGTTGGTCACGACTGTTCCCTAGCAACACGGATGCAGATGTGCTTCGAGGTTGTGCGGTTTTTCTGGGCAGTAAACGATGGTGTGCTATGGGGTTTAGAACAGAACAAATGCAGAACGCCTCCGACTTTGCAAAAATGATGGAGAGCATCCAGTTGTAGAAGAAGTGTGTAGAAACATGTGTGCCATGCCATGATCCATCCTCCATCACTCCAACCATGCTTTTGCCATGCTGGGCAGCCCGTCGCAACCATCAGTCCCCATGGTCTGCACTGTAGTGGATGCTGCACCATCAACCTTGCCATGCACTCCCCCCCATGTCAGCGGGATAGCATGAATGGAACAAACAAATTTGCAACTCTTGCAAAAGTGAACGGAACTTATGTTCTGGTGTCCACCATACCATGCATTCATGGACCAACCATACCCTTGCTAATCAGCCATGCCATACATGCTCGATACCTAATCTCCCTGCTAACCCGTCCCGGCCCCATCTCGATCGACGATTAGCCTCTAAGCTTAGGGAGCGAATTCCGAGAATCTGAACCATGAATGGAAGGTTTCTCGCTGGCTATTCCTCTGCTCCAGCATCTCCCCAACTCGTCAGAAACACCCCATCTCCATCAAGTAGTGATGGCGACCATCAGTAAGCACCTAACTCGCTTGTTCGTTTATTCGGGATGTTTTTTTTCCTGACAGTTACGAGCTTATGATACCCTTTACTGCGGTATTGATCAAGTGCTGACTCTTGTTTTCGCTCGTTCAGATACCTCGCGGACCTGTTGGCTGAACGGAAAAAGCTTCTTCCCTTCAGACAAGTTTTACCGCATTGCGGTCGGTTGCTTGACCAAGGTTAGGCAGAATACTGATGTATAGTGCCGTAGTTTGAGTTGTTACATTCTCTGCTAACCTTAACCTTTGTCCTCGTTTCAGAAATTGCACGTTTATCGTCGATAGTGGGTTCTCCGACTTACATGGACCATGAACACGCCGATACGTCATCGCCCATATCCCATCCCATATTCTCTCCTGGGCCTTCTCCGTTTGACGCGCAGACATGGTCTCCGATGCCGAACGAAGTCGGGGTACGATTATCCCCTCGAACTTGCTTCTTGCTTGCGATTCATGGTTTCTTTGAATTCAGCTCAAGCAATACGCTAATTCTCTGTTTGCGATCCCTGTTTCTGCAGCCTTCGACGCTTTTCGCAACGCCAACAGCTCACCAACCAACAACGACGACATTGGTAGGCTGGACCCCTCAACCCGGCGCTGCTCCAATTTTTAAAAAGGCTCGCAGAATTGACGTTCCAGTGGATCAGTATCCCACGTTCAACTTTGTTGGACGAATTCTTGGGCCCCGAGGCAATTCGCTAAAGCGAGTTGAGGCTCAGACGGGTTGCCGCGTTTTGATCCGAGGCAGAGGTTCCATCAAAGACCCTACGAAGGTAGATCATCTAATTCCAAGTTCCTTGTTTTCGGCTTTCCTTTTCCAGGCAAAGTCCTCATGCAGTATCCTCGGTCTTGCAGGAAGAAAAGATGCGTAACAAGCCAGGTTACGAGCACCTGAATGAGCCACTGCACGTCATTGTGGAGGCTGAGCTTCCTGCAAACATTGTAGATGCTCAGCTTTCACAAGCTTGTGAAATTCTTGAGGAGCTTCTGAAGCCAGTAGTAAGTGTTATGAAACCATTCCTGTATGCAGGTGTTGCTTTGCAAACGTTGACTGGGACTAACGACTTGTTATGGTGGTACAACAGGATGAATCTTGTGACATCCTCAAACGGGCACAATTGAGGGAATTGGCTATTATCAACGGTACTCTACGAGAAGACACGGGATCACACAGTCTCTTTGCAGGGTCCCCATCACCATTCAGTGACCCTGAATTCAGATCTGCTAAGACTCGTCGCTGAAAATCAAGTATAGCTGCAAAGTTCTGCTGTAGCTGCACAAAGGGCTTCTTGTGTAGCTGCTGGAACTGACTCTGATCTTCCTACATTTGGTGGTAGGTTTATCGTCAAGCACCAGTTGTAGCTGTTAGTCACATAGGGTATACTAGGATATATTAGGAGTAGAGAGTAGGCAATTCATGAGTTGTCCTGGTTTCTTAGGGGTCCAGAGTCTCTCTGGCCACTTGAAGCCACCTTGCAGACGCTTCTTAGTGTCTGCTTCTTCTCTAGGAGGGTAATAGGTATGTGAAGTAATGTTTAATACATGTTCCATTTTCTGATATGTAGCACACGTATTCATGTTACTGCAACAAGTTCATTAGGGTACTTGTACAACTGATGCTAGTATAGAATATCACAACGTATGTGTGTTGTTCAGCAGGTTGGCATGCTAGGACAACGTTCCCGCTTCTTTGTGCACTCAAATGTCACAGACACTGCAAGAATGCTGAGTGCAACATTTGCAACAAATTTCTTGTAGACCACACTGCAAGCACAGAAACCAGAGTAGAAGAATCGGTCAAAATTGACCTACAAATGTTTGTGTACTAGAACGAGAGAGTTGCACTGCACTTACATTAAGCCTGAAAAGGTGGGCTCTGCAGAAGTACTCGGCGCAAATGGAGCATGGGACCAGGCAGTTCTCACAACCAATCTCGCCATCTCTGACAATGGCATGCCCCAAAACGTCTGCAGGAGCTCCCTCGCCATTAAGCATGGAGTACACACCACACATCATGACATGACCAGCCTTGGGACAATGAGGACATGGAGCAACATCCAGTGCCTCAGAGAGCCTGAACCTTTCCAGCAAACGAACATGGCGACCTTCTACATTCGTCGAACCAGACAAACGCATGGACTTCAAAAGTGGCCCCGTTCCAGCTTCGTGGCATGCTCTAGCCAAATGACCGACCAGTGACACCAAGGCTCCTCCCGACAGTTTTGGACACTCCAGAAGCCAAAGCTGCAAAAGAGCGCAAAGCAATCAGAACTATATCACAACCGAGATATTCAAAGCAGCAAGTGTGTTGATGCTCACCTTTTCCAGTTTCTTGTTTTCCTTCATGCCGTCCGCAAGTAGAAAAGCTCCGGTCAAACGCTTTGATCCATGAACCTCGACAACTTCAAGTTCTTTTTGAGCTCTTTTTATCAACACCATGAGGCGGGTGTCTGTCAGCTTTTCCGAGAGGGACCTTGGGATGGTAATCCTCTTCCACAAGTGACGATCATGAACGACAAAGTTGTTGAGATCCTTGCAGGTGCACTGGACAGACATCAGATCCATCAAAGATAGGACTCGACATATACGATGGAGTAATGCCTCATCCAGACAAAGGATATATGCAGTTCCCTCTTCACTGGACACAGAATCTTCTGGTGCAGACGACATGAGCGGGTTCGTGTTAAAATTGGAAGAGACCAATGGCAATTTGAACGCCATGGGGTGAAATACCAAACTATCAGAGCTGTCTTTATGCTTAGGAAGTGCAACCTAGCCAAGGCCGACCCTGACAACCAAGCGCAGGTGAATGCGCTTGATGTGATACAAAACTATCTTGAGTTGGGACACTTCGGGGCAACTCAGCTGCTCGAAAGAAAAAAATTGCTCGATTTGGGAAGCGACACCTCGGGACAACTCAGCTGCTTGTAGTAAGACGTGTTTCACGTGAAAGCAGTAGTTTTCATGGACACAGGGTTCAATAATTTCGGCGTGGCGAGAACAATGGGTGAAGAGCTTTAGCTGAAGAGAAATGGGTGTGGCGAAGAACTATGGCTGAAGAACCAGAACACCGTTCTAGAGAATTCCTAGAAAATCCCGTAACCTGCAAAACAAGACCGGGCTTCACGAATCCGCGCAAATGATGGAGCCAACACCAAGGCAAAACGATCAAGCAGTCAGCAGACAAGCCTCGAGAATATCTCCAGGCAAAAGTCGCAAAAGCATCAGCTGCGCCAATCAGTTCCCGAGGATGAGCTGGCTCACCCTGGCGACTTGTCGGTCAACAGCGTCGTTGGCATCAGCGATGCGTTCGCGATGTCGGTGGAGGCAAGGCGAAGGGCGGTGTGCGACGACTCCAGAGCAATTCGAGAAGGACAGTCATTTCGAGACGGAAATTTTACAAACTTTGTTCATAGGCCTAATGTGCACTCCCGTAGCAAATCTCCTTATATCGCATTATCATCAGCTCCGCACGCAAATCCAAGCCGGAGCAAGTCACGGATAACTCGAGCAATACTTCAAGCTATGCCAGATCACCTCTGCAAGTTTCAGCCTAAGATCCATCCGCGAATCGGTTCGGACGAAGGAGCTAGTTGTAAGGCTGATCGGGGATGATCGGCTTGCATTGACCATGGCGACCGCTGCAGAAAGGGAGAGGCAGCTGCAGCGCGCTCTTGGAGAGTGCGCTTTGAGTAGGTACTACTCGATACCTTATTACCTTTTTACTCACCGCGATGACTTTAGAGGCAGACGCTGTATAGCACCCTCTTTCCCTTATTGAAGGCTTCTCTTTCAAATCGAATAGCCTTAGCCGCCCGTATCTTCTCCCTCCTTCCACCCTCTCTCCATCAACCTCCATATTATTTCTATCTGTCGACTGTAAAAACGTCTATCTCTTCATAATTTCTGATCGTGAACATCAGAAACCGTTTTTATTCTTATGTCCAATAGCCGTCTCCAATCCCTTCAAACTCCCGTTCGCGTCTCTCCCGTCCCCAGATCCTGGATTTTCACCCTCGGAGGGTGTTTAATCGCCATCCCTGTAGGTATCAAGCGCAAGTCCCTGGGTCCGCTGGTGTTTTACGGCACCACGGGCGCCATGGTGGACATCATTCAGGGCATCAGCCTCTGCGAGAAGGAGCGAGAAGAGCTCAAGGCGTTCATGGAGGAGAAGAAAGCGGCTAAGCAAGGAGGAGCGGATGGGGCTGGTAGCGTCAGTGGATCGGAATCGAAGGAGGGAAGCGGAGTCCCACAAGATATCGCACAGACGTTAGGCGATGATGGTGGGTCGAGGTAGCTTTTTGGCGCGTCACTGGGTTCTCTGACGCTGTTCAGCACAACGGCACCACAGCCGCCATGGTGGACATCATTCAAGGCATCAGCCTCTGCGAGAAGGAACGAGAAGCTCTGAAGGAATTCATGGAGGAGAAGAAAGCGGCTAGGCAAGGAGGAGCGGATGGGGCTGGTAGTAGTGTCAGAGATGCAGGGGTAGGGGAAAGAAGTGGAATCCCACAAGATATCGCCCAGACGCTGGGTGACGACGGGAGGTTGAGATAGCTGTTTGGCGCAAGTCACTGACTAGGAGGAGAGGATGGAGCTGGTAGTGTTAGATATCCAGGGGTAGGGGAGAGGAGTGGAGTTCCACAGGATATTGCCCAGACACTAGGTGACGACTCATCGGATGGGAGGTCAGAATAGCTGTTTGGCGCAAGTTACTGACAAGGAGGAGTGGAGAGGGCTAGTAGTGTTAGAGATCCAGGGGTAGGGGAGAGAAGTAGAATTCACAGGATATCTCGCAGACACTGGGTGACGATGGGAGGCCAAGGTAGCTGTTTGGTGCAAGTCACTGACAAGGAGGAGCGGATGGAGCTGGTAGTGTTAGAGATCAAGGGGTAGGGGAGAGAAGTGGAGTTCCACAGGATATTGCACAGACACTAGGCGACACTAGGTGACTCATTGGATGGGAGGTCAAGGTAGCTGTTTTGTGCAAGTTACTGACAAGGCGGGTATAACTGGAAACCTGCTATACCACCTAGCCCACCTCCCCCTCCCCCTCTCCCCCCTCCTTTCTTCCTTATTGTATGACCCTAGGGTCTAATAACCAACATCTCTGAAGTGGGGCCTTAGAAATGTTAGCAGCAGGAGGTGATGCAAGCGTGGAAGGGGGGGTTGCAGGTTGGTTGTGGACATCAAGTTATCCGAATGACGAATGCTGTTCAGAAGACCACACACACATTATTGGAAAAGAGCAAAACAAGGAACAAAACAAAGTGCAAACACAAAATAAAAAGAGTCGGACGAGATATGTAACCTACCGCAATATGCTACAGTATTAGCATAAGCAGCAACCATATACCCATGATGTATCCGTATCTTGTTACGCAAGTCATTATGTGTGGTCCCAAAATCCATGGGGTGAGTTGAGGTCCCCAAGGGCCTCCATACCAGGAAATCCAGGCTCGGCATCTTCCTGCTCTCCAAACCTGAGCAGCAGGTTCGGTGGCTTCCCAGCCAGCGCGGGGAACAGGTCTGGTGGAGCCCTGGAACAATCAGCGGCCCCCGAACCAGCAGAGCCAGTGATTGTAACAGGTGCATTATCTGCAGTGTCAGGTGATGTATCAGGTGATGTATCAGGTGACGTATCAGGTGATGTGTCTGGTGCTGGTGCTGTTGGTGCTGTTGCTGCTGATGCTGTGACCCCTCCTGAAGCTTCTTCTTCTGCTGCTGATGGGAACCTTGCAGCTGGTTCTGCTGCTTCTTCTACTACAGAAATTCTGTCACACGGTCCCCTCTGTCTCTTAGCTAAGTGCCAGGAATCCGGATGACTGGAACCAGGATCTGCAGCAGCAGGAGGAGGAGGAGATGGAGTAGATCCAGTGTGGTGGGAAGAGGTGGGAGGCGATGGGGAGACGAGTGTGGGGGATGAACCGGGGGAGACTGAGCTGTGTAAGGATCCAAATACAAAGAAAGTAGCAGGCGTGACAGCAACAGCCGCAGCATTGCCAGCAGCAGTGCCATTCGCAGCGGCAGCGGCAGCAGCTGCATCAGCGTTAGCAGCAGTGGTAGTAGCTGGGCGGATTTGCAGTGAAAGGGGCGTGGTGAATTGTTCTGGTGCTGGTGTAGACATGGACGCTACAGTTGCTTCTGCCGCACCCGCCACGCCTGCTGCTGCGCCTGCTTCTGCTTCTGCATGTGCTGCAACGTTAACATGCTGCTGCTGCTGTGAAGGCTGGTGATGCAAGAATGTCATGCTTCCACATGCCTTGAGCTGACTATTGTTAGTCATAGCACCAGCCATATGCCCGTAATCGCCAGCACCAGCAGCACCAGCGGCACGAGCAGAGCAAGGAGCACGAGCAGCATCAGCATTCGCCTCCTCCTTCTCCTTGCCACTCCTCATATCCTCCTCCACGCTTGTTTCATGGTTGCTGTTTTGGAAACTCTTAGATCCTTGCTCACTCTCCCCATCTCCTCGCTTCCCTGCTGATTCTCTTCCATCCATCGCCATACAAGCTGTTGCTGCAGCAGCAGCAGTAGCACCATCGTCAGCACCATCACCAGCAGTTACAACAGCAGCAGCAGCAGCAGTGGTAGCAGCGGTGGCAGCAGCAGTGGCAGTGGCAGCTGCAGCAGCATTGGCGGCAGCGGTGCCAGGAGAAACAGCAGCGGTGGCGGACGGAGCATCAGCAATCACGATAGTAGCACACTCAGCATAGTCCCCTTTACCTGTCATTGTCCCTGCATCTTTTCCCAACCAATCCCCCAATCCAACCCCAAACTCTTTCTTTTTTCCTTTTGGTGTAACTGCTGCCCGCTCTTCTCCCTCCCTTGGAGACCCACCTGCCCGGTTCCAGCCTGCCCGATCGACACCTGCTTCGGCAGAACCTGCCCGGAAAACACCTGGTTGGGTAACGCCTCCCCCAGAACTACCTGGATTGCCCGAGCTCAAGGAACGGTGCTTTGCTGCCAGCCTGGATGCCACGTCAGACAGCTGTAAAAGGGTGAAGACAAGGGAGAAATTCGAGGGGTTTGGGTTTCAAACTGAGGCAGCGCGGAAATTGAAGGGGAGTAAAGGGATATAAAAAGGGGCGAGATTAGAAAGGGTCAAGAGGGGTTGAAAGAGAAACAGGACGGAGAGGAAAGGTAGGAGAGGGAGAAAAAGGGGAAGAGGGAGGCGCGAGTTTTGATTCCGAATGAAGGCTAGAACGATAAAGGAAAGAGATGGATGGTCGGACGGGTAAATAGCTTTTGAGAAATTGTCAATAGGGATGGGAGAAGTGTTATTGAAGCACCCTCTCACTATCGGAATGGATGAATACAAGTATCCACAAAAAGTCTGTTATATGAGATGAGGCATGATGCTTTCACATCCACACCAATGATGATATTCAGTTCTTTCCCTTTTATTTCTCTGCTTATCACTCTGCCTTATGCCACTTATCACCCCTGCCTACACCCTTTCACTCCCTCACCTTGCTGGTTAGCTCCTCTTTCTTATACAGGAGGGTGTGATAATCCGCCTGAAGAAGCTCATAATCCGCACTCATGCCACTCGCTGATGCTTGCAGTCGAGACGAGAAAAGGCAGACCGGAGGGACTCCACTCCACCGCACTACACACCTTTCACTCCACTCCTCTCTTTGTACCCTTTTACTCACCTTGCTGGTGAGCTCCTCCTTCTTATCCAGGAGGGTGTGGTAATCTGCCTGAAGAAGCTCGTAGTCCGCACTCCACCGCACTACACCCCTTATCACCCCTCACCTTGCTGGTTAGCTCCTCCTCCTTATCCAAGAGGGCGCACTCATGCCACTTGCTGACGCTTGCAGGCGAGAGAAGGCTGATCGGAGGGACTCCACTTCACCGCACTACACCGCTTATCACCCTGCACTACACTCTTTTCAGCCTTCATCTCACCTTGCTAGTCAGCTCCTCCTTCTTATCGAGGAGGGTGTGGTAGTCAGCCTGAAGAAGCTCATAGTCCGCACTCATGCCACTCGCTGATGCTTGCAGGCGAGAAAAGGCCGATCGGAGGGTTTCAAGCTCTGCCTGTTGCTGCTGCACCGTGTGTTGCAGGCGACGGTGGTGCAGCCAGGAGGAAACCTGCATTTGGGGAGAGGAAAGAGGGAGAATAGGCATTGAAACTGTGTTTCTGTGACTGAAAATGGGAGGAGCGAAGGCCGATCGGAGGGATTCTAGCTCTGCCTGTTGCTGCTGCACCGTGTGCTGCAGGCGATGGTGGTGCAACCAGGAGGCGATCTGAAGGGAGGGAGGGGATACAGAGAGACATAGGCACTAAAAATGCGTTGTTGTGACTGAAGAAGGGACAAGGCAGACCGGAGAGTTTGAAGCTCTGCCTGCTGCTGCTGCACCGTGTGTTGCAGGCAACGGTGGTGCAACCAGGAGGCGATCTGAAGGGAGGGAGGGGAAACTGTGAGAATCCCATAGTTGGAATGAGAAGTGAACTCAAGAGTTGATTGTATTAAGGAAACATTGGGCTTACATAGGAGAAGGAATAGTGAGGAAACTAGGAGATAAGCTCACAGAATTATTGGCTGGCCAACATTGTTGGCTGCCCAATAATGGTTGGGATGAGCCACCAATTATTGGCGGACCAATAATTGGTTGGCAAGGGCCACCAAAGCGGCCCCCAAAAATTGTGGCATAAGGGAGGTTGGGGTGCCCCAAACCAAAGTGGTTGGGGCGCCTCGAACAAAGTGTACACCCAGAATTGGGTGTAACACTAGCACAACTATAACATCATAGGATATATTCTAACAGAAACAGAGAGACATAGGCACTAAAAATGCGTTGTTGTGACTGAAGAAGGGACAAGGAAGACCCGAGGGTTTCAAGCTCTGCCTGCTGCTGCTGCACCGTGTGTTGCAGGCAACGGTGGTGCAACCAGGAGGCGATCTGAAGGCGGGGAGAGGAAAACGGGGCAGGGAGAGAGAATCAGGCCGTGTGAAGTGAATGCATTGCTGGCGTTGAAGAAGGGAAAAGGCGGATCGGAGGGTCTCGAGCTCTGCCTGTTGCTGCTGCACTGTGTGCTGCAAGCGACGGTGGTGCAACCAGGAGGCGATCTGGTGGGAGGGAGGGAAAACAGAGAGACACATGCAGTGGGAATGCATTGTTGTGACTGCAGACGGGATAAGGTTGATGGGAGGGGGACTCTAGCTCTGCCTGCTGCTGCTGCACTGTGCGCTGCAGGCGCCGGTGGTGCAGCCAGGAGGCGATCTGGAGGAATGGAGAAGGGGGGGAGAGCGGAGAGGAGAGATCAGCATTGTGTTGCGGATGGTT